TTTAAGGCAATGCGACGTCCTTTTTAAGGGACTGGCAGTGACGTCACATTGCCTTAAAATGATGTCACACGAGCAGTCCACGTTCTCGTCGTGCAAATCTAAAAGTCCCTATTGTGATCATAGTACGAGCAGTCTAACGAAGCAGATAGTTGTGGTTCATGGATTATCAGACAAGGGGGAGGGGGCCATAATTGTCATGAAAAAAATTATATGATACCCGGGGAAACATTTTTTTTTAGCGAGACGTAGCCGACAAGTCACACTCTCCCCTGAATCCGCCTTTGGGAATATAATTAATCGCAATAAACGCTCTTTATGATCGAGCCATGCAGATGTAGATTTAAAGACCTCGTACTCGTACAAAGGAATATTTTTGAAAACCACCCTTCCATATTCTTTAGAGATTTCTTTCATTTTGTAATGGAAAATATTAATAACCTAACAAGCCGTGTTTACTGTAAGTTTTGTGTTCAAAATGAATGTCAGACATAATTATAGAGAGGGGGGGGGGGTATCTAGCGACTAAAATGCCGTGTGCAGCCGTTCATACTGTAAGGCCCTACTTGCAAGGTCATGAGATATTCCAGTGCCGTGAGCTTCGGCGATGAGAGATATGAAAGGTAGCCTCGAATAAGTGTTGATTATCTCCACCAAAAAGCAAGTAGACCAACACGCCACTTTAGTCAACACGTTCCACTTTCCTTTTTCCTGTATCAGATTATTAATCATTACCTTTAAAAGCTGTGTCTGTATCACTCCAAAGACATTGTACAAAGAACTGCCCAAGGGTTTTAGGATCACAACCATTTTCTGAAAATCTTAGAAAGTGAACGATAATTCCTCATAAAATGAAATGATATTCTTCACGCTCGAGGCAATATTATTCCCTATCCTTTGTATAGCATATAATATTGACTGGCATACAGCAGTCGTCTTGTTTCTCATAATTTTTGTCTGGAGGTGACTAGAACGTTTCCTAATTAATTGCTCAAATTTCTCGAGAATTACCACCTGATGAAGATTATGGGAAACTGCCAGCCTGATAAATCGGCTATATGATATATAAAATGATACGTTAAAAATGAAGTGCTTCTTCGTGAAAAGTACAAAACTGATTCGCTATAATTGTTATAACAACCTTTTTTGTATTTTAGAAGGGTCCCTGGATCGTCCTGATCTATATACAAGTATATGGAATTTTAACTGGACCTGTTATTTTCTATCAATAGTTAAAGATAAAAACCAGTTCTGGTCATGCCATTGCATTGTGAAAGAGACGTTGTGGAATCGATCAGAAAAGGTTGATCATCTAGCATATAAGTATTGGGTTGTACTGCAAGGTTCCGGAATCATGAATCATAATAAATTTGGCCCAGTCCTGGTAAAGTTACAAGCACTGTACACAGAAAGATGTATATGGGACTACGCGACACGTGCGTGATATCTATCCGGTCCAGATAGATATAATAAATTCCCAAATATATCAATTAGTAGGCGGTTTCTCGGCAAAATTTGTATCATCACGTATTAGTCAAAACATATTCTTTCACATGATTGGTAATAAGAGCTCCCATTTTTTCATTTTTTGAGAGGGGTGCGTTTCCAAAACTGTTCTTTACCTTTAAAATCAATCCTAGTGTTCTTGTTTAACAGACAGACATATCTGGTACACAAAGAGATACAAAATGATAGAGGAGAGAGATGATAAAGAGAGAATTGGGAGACGGGGTGGGGAACTGAAACGGGGATGGAATAACCAAAAGGGGATGCAGGGTAATTTATGGTAGAAAGAGCAGTAGAGACTGGCAGTGGCGAAGAAAAAAACACTGAGAGCATATAATACGGAAGATAAAGAAGATTGGTGGTGCAAAGTAATAATAGCAATTTCTTGTATTGCACTCATGTCTGTCAGTCTCGACACTCCTGGCGCTCCACATGTATTACCCCAGCATTAGCATGGCTGCCATTAAAGTGCTCTACCATTTAAAGGAATTAATTCCTGCCAGGTACCTAATAAACCTCACATGTGACAAGTGCGGCAAATATGTTAGATAAATATCTTGCCAAAGGACATTAGTTCCGCGACGGGACTTGAACCACGGACCGTGTGAACAACAGTCCTTCGACCACGACACCTCGATACCTCTAATATAAAAAATTGATGCTTTACATTATCGTTCAATTAACAGAATTAATGTGGAAACGATTTTTTACAAAAAAATATATCCATCTTTCTCCCCCCCCCCCCCCCCCCCCCCCGCCTCTCTCTCTCTCTCTCTCTCTCTCTCTCTCGGTCTGTCTCTCCCGCGGGCTTTTATCTTCCTCTCCTCTCCTTTCTCTCTTCTTCACAATTCGATTTCCTAAACAAAATCTACGGGACAGAAAAATTGTGTTTTTGATGAAAGAGACAAATTGCCACACCTGCCAAGGTCCCATGTCTTAATTAAACTCCTGAATAATATAGAGCATAACATTTACTTTTACAGCGTTTCACAATGTGTATCGGCGCGTGGGCAGATCTCGAGGAGGCCGTGGGAGTTGTCCCCTCCCCCCCCCCCACCCACCCATGAATACGAGCGAGTGAAGCATTGGGAAGCAAGCGCCATTACCATGTATATCAGGTACACCGATTGGCTGTCCGAAATTTTGGAGGACAATTGCTATGTTTTTTCCGACAGTTAATTGATTTGAAAAAACAGAGCACCATTTCGTACTTGTAATAAGTGTTCCGACGTGTCTCCCCTCCCCCTCCTCTTCACATCTCAATGGGTTATCTTAGATCCGCAACTTAAAGCCTGAACAACAACTTGCTGGTTTTCTAGACCAGGCTTTTTTGCGACGTTAAACTTCTGAAAGTGTAGAATGTTGTCATCATTTTGCTTGTATATGCATTTAATATCGACTTTAAAAGGAAATAGATCATCATTGAATAGAGTTGATCGTATTCCCATATATTTCTTAACCCTCTCACCCACCCCCCCCCCCCTTCCAAATCACTCTATCTATTCGCACCGTGGTTCGAAAAAAAAGAGTATATCGTCGTTCTAAACATTGATTACTTTTCCTTGTTCTGATACCTTTCCATTCTAACACAAATCAAAACACACAAAAATCTTATCACCAAGTTTAGCGGGACCTTTAAGAAGTTTTGTACAACAACATCACAAAGAAGTAGAAGAACAAAGCCGGGGAAACGTCAAGGAAAGAGTGCTCCAGATTCTCGCACTTTATCATCAACTGCACACAAGGTCATTTTTGTTATCAATATCCAGTAATGAGACGCGTGTCTGCTCCGGTTTAATATAAGAATGTCACATAACAAACTATAATTGGCCATGCGACCAAATTAAGGACGTATATTCTTTCTTTCTTTTTTTCTCAAAAGGAAGCATAACAACCATCATTTAACACAAGTTAATGAAGAAAAATCTGGTGCGAGGGCTTGTGATGCTGATGCTGATAATGATAATAACGATGGCGGTGATGACAATGGTAAGGAGAGTTCTGATGATTATGATATTGATGATGATGGTCATGATGAAGAGGATGATATTCATGATAATGACATTGATGGTGAAGATGATGATGACGATGATAGCAAATATAAAGTATGTTTTTGGCATGGGCGTCAATCCTTACGTAATACCTAATGTTCAGGAGGATGAATGAATAGATCATCCCCCCCCCCCCCTGAACAATAAGTATCAATTACAGATCTACGCCCATGGTTTTTAGTATAAATAAAACAGTCACACCCAAGAAACCGACGCCAGATCGACAACACACCGAACCAGTTAATGCATCTCCCTCATTGGCCAAGAATCGTTCGGTTTTGGAATCGGTTCGGAGTTGGTTTGGCAGGTGTGACCGGGGCATACATGTAAGATGTCTATTGTAGCTATAATCTTGGATTCTGGTCTTGGAATTCCATTTTGAGCGAAAGTGGTCCGGATAATTTTGCCTTGTTTATTACACGGTAAATGGACTGTACAGACCGGCTTAATGTAAACAGACAGACGAGAACTGGCTGGAAATTAAATTCATTGAGATACCTATACCCACATGACACTGCGTGTTATACACGTGAGTAGAGACGATTTGGTTATCTTTTTTTAATAATGATAATGATAATAATGATAAGAAAAAAAAGTTTGTTGACCCAAGGGTACCTCATCAGCTTCAGTGCTTTTCACCCCGAGGACCCTGCCATTATTATTACCCGAGCGATTGCCAGGTACCATTTACACCTGGGTGCAGAGTGGCAAATGGAAATTCATGTCTTGCCAAAAGATTTAGTGCAGGGCTAAGACTCGAACCGTCAACCCTGGGATTGAGAGTCAATTTAATGAACCAATATGCCACAGCATTTCTGCTATACTATATTTTAGGAATCTTTGTTTTTTCTCCTCTTCTCTTTTCTTTCACAAATTCGTTTGATAAATACCAGTAACTGATAAAAAGGGTGTGATCAATTGTTCGGAGTGTACAATAACGCATACTTATGCGAAATTCTATAATAAAATATCGAATGAAGATTTTGATTTCAATATTAATGTTTATAACCAAAACAAATAACATTCGCCTTTCGTTTTAATGGAAGTGATAAGGTGGTCCTATGAAAAAATGCACATAACAAAAAAGAATGAAGAAGATATTTAAATGTTGAGTTACGTTCGAGCAGTGGATAGAATTGAAATGCTCAACTTTAAAAGATATATTTATCATCCTGTTTAAGTCTGTCCCGCCCCCTCTTTTCTCTCTCTCTCTCTCTCTCTCTCTCTCTCTCTCTCTCTTCTTCTTCTTCTTCTTCTTCTTCTTCTTCTTCTTCTTCTCCCTGCCTTACTATCCTTCTCTCTTCATGATCACAGCACGCTGACGGTTTGTAATATGATCAGAATAATCTAATTGAATGATCAAATAGCTGCAGATTTTAGCGCTCAGAATCAAATGTGGTCTCACAATTAACAAATCAAATAAAAAATAAAATCAAAAGAACTTACTCATCGCTTGGTAGTCGCTCTTTGTTTTGTACTCGAGCCATGTTGCTGTTCTTCTATTAACTTATCCGCTCCCGAGTCAGCAACCAAGCATCTGTTTCTAGTGACACAGGGAACTTTCCAGCACTCGAAGTCCTTAGAAAAGCGAAGAAAAGAGCGAACTCGAGGTAAAAACTAAACGTTGTTGTTGCCGGTATATTTTGAAGGTGTCAGTGAAATAAGTTGCAAGTGTCAAACGGAAGGACCATGAGGAAACCAGAACCAGAAGTATGTTGCGTAATTTAAACAATCATTGTTTCCTCAATGGTAGGCTGTTGTAGGTGTATTATTTGTGGGGGATACGTTAACAGCCCGCGACCACACTGAAGCGGAAACTGGTAGGCAACTGAAGGGATGGTGGGAGCAGGTATTATTAAAAGCATCGGATGCGATGCGGTGGTGAGTTACGTACGCGGCTATACGTTGAAGAGACTCCGCATTGTGCGTCGGTATGTGAAAGTGTGTGAAGGTATACGAAAGGGAAGGAAGGGAGGGGTGTGATGGGAGTTGCAAGGGACAAAATCTGCCGCAATATTAAGGTAGTTTTGAGATGGAGGACTAGAATTTGGGTTAATTGTAAGAAGGTGATTTGGCCAAGGGAATTTCAAATATCTAACCTAAAAGGGGAAGAAGATAAAAAAAAAAGCCTTTAAGATGAGGATCTTTTAAGGTTAAAAGTGCTTCGACATCTAACTTGGATCTTTCGCAATTACCACCTCCTGCGAAAGCGATTATGGAAGAGCTATTAATTTGACCGGATAATTTGTTCGCTTGACATCTTTTATTTTGACGGATAATTTCACACTCCGCAGATGACTAGACAAGCGGAGACTCATATATAAGCATGTTTTGATGTATGTGTTTGGTAATTGGAAGAAGCAGATTGAAGATACTTCAAGAAGCAATGTACAATACGTTAATAGGGGATTGAAAGGGAGATAATGGTAGCATCTGAAAATTGAATTATTAAGCGAGATGAGAGAGGGAAAAATGAAAATTGAGAGAAATAAGAACATAGATGACATATGATATTGCTGCTGGTGTTCATGAAAATGACAATGCCGAAAATGGAGAGTAGGAAGATGAGGAAATGATTATGATGATGGTGGTGGTGGTGGTGGTGGTGATGGTGGTGGTGGTGGTGTTAACTTTAATTACCTTCATAAATATTTTGCTTTTGATTTGAAGGATCTTCGCTTGTTTCACGGCCTTGTCAAACATTAAGTAACCGTAAGCGAACAAAATTAATACATTTTATTTAGTTTTGCTGCAGAACAATCATATTACATGTATTTTCGAGTTTCTTTCAGACGAGATTGCAGAACACACAGCTCCATTATATCCACCTATACTGAACTATTTGAAAATGATACCACAGCAATCATGTTCTCGGTTGGCTTGTCATCCCATCTGTTCACTGAAATTATATTTTTGCTGAACTTGAAGAATCGTACTAATGATACATTTTAGATTTGGCGGTTATAGATTCACGGGCAATCGTATTAACAATGTTAAAATCTAGAACAGTTTACATTTTATGTACGTGACTATTACCAATATCCAATTTTAAAGAACTAAATTCATTAGACGTCTTTGTCATTTGTTTTTTAAATCATGATAATCTTAAACAATTTGTGTTTCAAAAAATGACAGCTCCAGACGACCATGACTCATATTTTCCGTAGAATTTCTTTGCAACTGTGATAATAATAGTGAATTATGGTGTATTTTGGTGATATATTACAAGTTTCGTAACAGCGTGACATAATATGTAGTTCTCGCGGTGACAACGTTCTATAACCAAATTTTCCTCTGCCCTAGTAAGCGTTTTGCTGTACGCTACAACGAAATCATTTTCTTGGTCTTCCTCCTTTTATAATAAATCTTTTTTTCCCCTTTCTGTAGAGTCCTTGCCTTTTAAAGACCTTCCTTTTATCGTTATATCGCGGTGAGCTACAATGGAAAAGGTCAAAACATACAAGGCTTTGATCATAGTAGAAAATACGGCTGCATCCAGTAACGTTTGCCATTGTTGTTGTTGTTGTTGTTGATCTTCTTCCTCGTTCCCCTCTCTCTCTCCCTCTCTCTCTCTCTCTCTCTCTCTCTCTCTTCCAGATTTGATGAACCGGTCCATTTCCAACTGGTAATTGATAATGAATTGGAACAATCTGCTGCACTTTTCCTTCCGATCATTTCCGGATTACCTAGCTTCAATCAAGACTTTAAGTGCTGCTGAAATAGCTTGAGTGAAAATGAGGGCAGCTCAGAGGCGTATCCAGGACTTGATTATGAGAGGAGGGGCGGATTACGTCGCTCCCCAGAAAGGGAGAAAGAGTTTGGACAGTCTCGCATTCACCAATGCGAGTTGCGCCCCCCCCCCCCCTCCTGGGCCTAAAAATGGAGGAGGGGCTTCACACTATTCAATATTCACTGGATACGCCACTACACATTTAATACCGAGTGTTCACCCCCCCCCCCCCCCCCGCCTTCATCCATTGTCCTCGTTTGCTCTTTGTGAATGGATGTCATCAGTAACCTGCTTCCAGTGGCGTACATGTGGGTCTAGTCATCAGGGAGGCACTTGTTTTTTCTTGGTAGATAAAATATTTGACGGAGGGGCGACCAAGCGGGATGTTGGAAGGGGGTCTATTGAGTCATCTTCTTCTGACGTTCTCTTTTGCTCTTTACCTCTCTTTCTTTTCTTCCTTGTTCTTCTTCGGGGTCATTCGATTAAGGCATTGCCTTTTATACCTTCAAACCATAATGGGACTTTTGTCTATGTTAGTCTAAAACTATGAAAACGGAGGGGGAAAAGATATGCAATTTACAAAACAAACATATCATATATTTTTCGTATATTCAAGCACTGATTTCAAAAGACCTTGCCCACGCCTTGTTTTGACTTTTTTCTTTCGTTTTAGTATTGCCTATCGTTCGTCTTCTATGTCATGAATAATTATCGGGCACAACCAACTGATTACAAGGAAAGGAGGGTCAATCCAATGTTTCATAACATTGGCGGAGGAAACCGCTTCCTAGAGCAATGAACTCTACACGTCTATCCATTGTAAACCAGCTCCTGCGATAAGGTGTATAGTGATCACCTGATATTGAATGTGAGGGTTACTACACTTTCACGATAAATAAACAACAGCAACATCAACTATCATGACCATGGTAAACGGAAGCGAAATCGTGTACGTGTGCAGGTCTATGGTGGCGTCTAATCGGATTCTAAATTTAATTTGAGAGGCATTTGTCCGTACTGAGTGTCAAATTAGAAAGAACATACAATTTAAATGACAATATCATCAACATTGATCGAAATCGGTTCAGAGACGGCTGAAATATCCATAAATATAACGATTTCTAATATTTGTGGTGCTCCTAAAATATTCGATAATTTGAACCAGTCGTTGAAAAAACGTTTTATTCATGTGAATGCCGATGTTGGCTTTTCGTTGGCTTTTTCATGTTGGTTCTAATGCGCACAACCAGCCCGCCCGTGTTTGTTATTATCAATTAATTAATAAATTAACGGTCACCGTATTTTTTTAAATTGGAGCTGAATCGTATTAGCTACATTTCACATATTTTGGGGTCTAAAATTACCTTCATAGCAAGTTTAGGTCCTAAAAGAGCACTAGAAATGTCATAAATAAGAATAAGAGCAATAAACATGCACTTTAAAGGCATTTGTGGTCTTAAAAAGAACTCAACTATCCCTTTAAACTTCTTTCAAATTAATTTCTAATAGCAAAATCGTATAGTCCTGATAAACGATCTTAATCACTAAACATGAGGAAGTACTTTTTTTAATCGTTCGCAGATCATTTTAAATAAATAAGCACATGCTTCTCTAACGGTGATTTCCGGTTTGATATGCCTTTCAATACGTATCTTCCTTTGGCATAAATCACACCTCAGTTACTGTAGAAATCCAAATTCAGATATATGCTAAGATTTTAACCCTTAATCTTTGGCGGATTATTCAAGGATTTAATGGACCTGGGGTTTATGTGCGATTTAATCTTGTATACATCGACCGAGTGGAATTCGGCAACAGTCTTACGATAAGAAGATTAAAATGAATACTATAAACTCAAAAAGATAAGTTGTCGTCTGAGGCTTTCTGTTATTTTTCATTTGTCAAAAGTCGTTGGATTTTTAAATTCTATGTAAGGGGAGTCGTTGGGCATTTTTGTTTAATTTGGGGAGGGGGTTAGAATCGGTCCTTACATTTTTTTTTTTGTCACATTAGGGTGGTAATGAAGAGTCGAATCGAATATAATCGTTGTACTGATTAAGAACATATTTTCAGAATTGGAAAAGACTGAAACAATTTGAATTTACGAAATGCAAAAAGTTACCGTTAAAATACAATATATCAAACATTTAGTTGATAAAATACAGTAATAAACAGAAAAGGAATAAACGTTCATATGAAACCAACAGTGAAGTGAAAAAGTTAGAAGGGATAAATAATGAAATTATAAAGAAGAGAATCCCTTTAACAACAATTAATGACATGGCATGTTTTAGGATGGGCAATGACGTGTACCCTTTGGCTATGTTAATGAAAAAACGTAATTTTATTCAGGGCTGAATATTTCATAATCGTAATATCAAAGTCATTAAAGAAATCGCGCTGCGATGCAGTAAAAGTAGGTCATTGCAAAATCAATAATGTCAGAGATTTTAATAGCATACGAGAGAATTTGCGAGAATCGGAAACAACATTGGAATGCCAAAGTGCCACTTTTGACAAATGTCACACTGTTCATCTCTATTCAGTAGTAACGTAGGCACAATAATTCTTTTTGTCCACGTTTGTGGAGTGGTGTCATCGTTTGACCTTTCTTCTCGATTTCTCGAGAAGAGAACTCGTTTGGACGTATTGATTGAATGAAAGGAATTGGAAATGATGAGATATATCCTATGGCTTCATCGAGCATGATACGATTATGTGTGATATGTGTGTAGCGAAGCTCGAGTAATGAAATTAGACGAAATACATGAAAACAACTTCACCCTTTCTGACATTTAGACTATGAGAGCGTTCACATTTTCTTCACATTGTTTTCCTCTCTTGTCTATTTATAAGTGCTACTCTTGGAAATATGGTGGTATATATAGGTCTATAATAAGAAGATCGATAATACCTCGGTTGGAACTGCGGCAATGAAACAATGATTGGCTTGACGCAATCGCATAATACTCAGGTCAAGTTCACATTCTAAAAATATATTATTATTTTCTTTGTTATGAAGGAAATCATTTTTTCTTTGATTGTGTTGGCCATTTTGTTGTTGTTGTTGCTGCCTTTGATGTACCTTTGTTGTTGTTGTTGTTGTTTT